ACTGGAAATTGCAAATCTGCACAGATAAGTTTTACGAAAATTGTCATAACTCCCTCATTCTAACTCGAAATGAGGTGAAATCAAGTGCGTTGGAAAGCTAACTCAAAGAGCTTAAATTTAATATATTGTTGTCCTTCCAGTTCCTTGTGTGCTAAGAGATATGCCCCTTTAAAGTTGACCCTCCAAATCGCATTTTTTGCGATTTTCGAATTTTGATACGGTTGCTCTAAAATTCGGGTTAGACCCATTTCCCACTCAATTTGACACCCTGAATAAGAATATGAAGTCGAATTTCCGAAATCATGCACGGATTTTGAGATATATGGAAATTACAATTATAGGTGTTTCCGAAGCACATTTTCGGACATTTTTGGGGTCGTTTCAAAATACTATGCTACTATTGGCACCCCAAACTAAAAAACCCGAAATGGTTGGGGAGATGAAAGGTTCCTTTTTTTAGGGTACTCCCGGAAACAGATCTAGTTGAGACGGGGTGGGGCCTATAGCTCAGCGTAGTGTTGGTGTGTCTCGTTGCAATTTCGATCAATCCCTTTCCTGAATCATTATAAATTTGTGGTCAATTTTTATATTTAATAAATATAAAATTATGATAAAAAAATATCAAATTAAATTTTTCAAAAAATTTAAAATTTATCTCAAAATAAAAAATATCATATATTCGAACACTAATGACATAACATAATTTTAAATCACGAGATAAAATCGTAAACGACCTAAAACCTGAGGGGCATTAGAATCACAGTTTCATGCCGCCACTTCTCAATTCGGATATGCTGCATATCGTTACCCTAGCAATACTAAACCAAACATAAAAACGTGACCCCTCATTTCCACTTTCTCTCTCTACACTTTTTACAGTCATCGGCGGCACCTCAACAGAGCAACAATGGCGACACCGGCGGCTACTTCTTTCTCCATTTCCTCCTCCTCCTCGGCCGTTTCTTCATCAACCAAATCCCTAAAGCCTGCTCTATCTAGTAACTTAGGGTTTTTTTCTACTTCATCTCCGTCGCTTAAGGCTCTCAGAGCTAAATCTCACTCCTACAATGTCTCCAGCTCCGGCGGAGCACTTAATGTTCGTATGGTTGCTGCTCCTGCTGCTGTAAAGGCACCGATGTCTCTCGATTTTGAAACATCTGTTTTTAAGAAGGAGAAAGTTACCCTTTCTGGACACGACGAGGTGAATCTCTTCCCTTCTCTATGTTTATTTCACCAATTACCTCTGTTTTAGAAAGAATGGCGTAGTTAGAGTACGGTGACATCTAATTTTCGGTGAATGATTAGATGTAATAGTTAGATACTTGAAAACCGGTTAAGTATGACAGTTTTTCTAGTTTCATACTTATAACTATTAGTTATGCGAATTTCCTATCAGAACTATCGCAAACTATAAATCTAAACACACCTCAACTATCAATCAATTGCTCCATTTTCTAAGCTAAAATATCAACATAGGAAAAAGGAATAAATGATAATTGAAGGGTGTTTTGATAAATAGGTGGTAGGAAACTCGCTTGCCTAATAGTTCAAGCATGAAATTTGGAAAATTGAAATACTTTGGGTGTGTTTTTTATACTCTTTCTTTTTATATATTTAACATAAGAAAGAGTGCAATTTGTTTTCCATTTGATTTTGAGTAGCTGGACATCTATTTCTAAATGTAAATCATTTCTTATTGTTGTGTGGAATAATATGTAGGAGGATTGAACAAATTGAATTTTTTTTCTCAAAAATCATTTAGAATAAGGAAATTGTACAAAAAGGAAATGTGTTTTTGGATAGTCAGAGTTGTTCATTAAAAAGATTTCTGAGTTTTTAGTGTAAAGTCACTTTTCAAAAAGATACTGTGGTTTTTTTCTCAAAAAAGAATTAGCAAAAACTTCAAACAAACACCTTTAAGCATTAGACATTTAGAAAACTCAGTAGAAGTACCATAAAACACAATTTTGGACGGAGATAGTGATGGTATTGTCTTTCTTGTTTGGTGTATCAATGATGAAAATGTTTATTTCGATATGTGAAAGTTCTTGGCTTTGATGTGTAATGTATATTGTTGGGATTGTGGTGTAGTACATTGTGAAAGGAGGGAGAGATTTGTTCAAGTTGTTGCCGGATGCATTCAAGGGAATCAAGCAGATTGGAGTCATTGGTTGGGGTTCTCAGGTGAAGTTTCTTTGGTTTTGATTTTATTCAGTTAATTCAATTTTGATATCTGTATAATGTTCCATTCTGAGAGTTATTGGTATATAAAGTTAGCGCAAAGAGGAAGTTTGTTGTTTGAGCTCAATGAAGAGGGAATATTGCCATCTGAAACCAAGAGTTTAGTTAACCAAAATTTTGGAGAAGATATATCTTTTTTTGAAATTGAAAGGAGAAGAGAAGAAGATATCTCTTTCTAGATTCTATAACGTAGAAGTCCTCTGTTTTACTATTTTTGCTGGAAAGCTACATCCTTTTGGATGTACCTGATAAAAGCAGCTTCAAACTACTCTTTTTGTTGACTTTTCTAAAACCATATATGTTCTCACCAAGTTTTTGCTCTTCGTACTGATTCTAGCATATTTGCTGATAAAGTTTCTCTATTGTAGTTTTTCTCAAGAAGATACATCTTCCTCCATTCAAAGTTTGTTGTTTTCCATACTCTACTTCTGCTGATAATTGGTTATGTTGTTATTTTTTCATCATTAACGCAGAAGGTATCATCAAAATATATCTGAATACTGTTTTAGAAGTGATCTCATGTACATATAGTAATATACAACATTGAATTATTTTGGTTAAAAAAATGCACTTCTTTCTGTAAAAGTAAGATAAATGTTTTTCCTCTCTCCTGTTCAAGTTTCATTCCTTCTTTCATTCAAGTAGCTTAGCAATACCCTTCTTTTTTGGTAGGGACCAGCTCAAGCCCAGAACTTGAGGGATTCTCTTGCAGAAGCAAAATCTGATATAGTCGTTAAGGTAATATTTCATTTCTTCTTTATTAGAGATTGAAGCTGGAGTTTATCTGGTTTGCATACAAGATTAAATTCTTATAGTCTTGTAACTTATGAGGTATGAATGTTGATCATGCAGATTGGTTTGAGAAAGGGTTCTCGCTCCTTTGCTGAGGCTCGTGCAGCTGGGTTTACTGAAGAAAATGGTACCTTGGGAGACTTGTATGAAACTATCTCTGGTAGCGATCTAGTGCTGCTTTTGATTTCTGATGCAGCTCAGGTAGGCACATTGTGTTAGCCTCATGTTCTTTTCATGACAATTTGGTAATACATTTTAGTGAAGGCTGCCCTTGACCTTATAGTTCAATGTCTTGCTTGGAATGCTAGATATCTTGTTTCTTGCTTCTACTCTTCCAAAGAACAAATTCTTAGTTTTGCTATCTCATAAGTTATAGCTTTGTGCTTTCTGCTCCCACCACTGGTGATTAGATGTGATTTTGTTGTTTAATTTGGGACTATGGACTGCACACTCGGTATATTTCCACTAAACTTTAGGGTTTCTCTGGTGAGATTTTGAACATTCTAAATCGAACTCATTTTATTTTATTTTGGTTAGCGGATACATAGATTTTTACCAGAATCACGTGTTCCACATTATTCAGTGGAGTATTTATCTTGGCAACATGTATGACCTGAATTTTCAAAATTTAACCCAAGGATGGAAATATCAAACCAAGCCACACACTCCATGACTCCAAAAGGGTAAACAGAACCTTTTTTTTTGGATTCATTATACCGCAAGAAAATGGTAATATTGATAGCTTGTCAGACAGTGTATTCCTTCACCAGGTGTGCAGGTAGTGCCAGTTGCTGCACCACTCCTTTGTTCTGAATTTCCTGATGTATGTGCAGGCTGACAACTATGAAGAAGTGTTTTCTCACATGAAACCAAATAGCATACTTGGTCTTTCGCATGGATTCCTTCTCGGCCATTTGCAGTCATTGGACCTTGACTTTCCCAAGAACATCAGTGTGATTGCTGTATGTCCCAAGGGAATGGGCCCATCTGTCCGGAGATTATATGTGCAAGGAAAAGAAATCAATGGTGCTGGAATTAATGCAAGTTTTGCAGTTCACCAGGTCTCCTGCAGTCTTTTATAATTCACCCTCATCTATTTTCTCTCAAACTCTTGGCTTTTATGTTCTATGAGATGTAACGCCATTCGGTATATACAGGATATAGATGGAAGAGCCACTGATGTTGCTCTTGGGTGGTCAGTTGCCCTTGGTTCCCCCTTTACATTTGCAACTACCCTGGAACAGGAATACAGAAGCGATATATTTGGCGAGCGAGGTTAGCGTGTTTCCAAAGTCTGTTTTTTCACTTACTAAATCAGTATGGTTGAGGTCCATTGGTCTTCTTGTTAGGCATATTACTTGGTGCTGTCCATGGCATTGTTGAGTCATTGTTCAGAAGGTACACAGAAAATGGAATGAGTGAAGAGCTCGCATACAAGAATACTGTTGAGTGCATAACCGGAAACATTTCGAGGACCATATCAACAAAGGTCAGAATTAAATTCTCAATCTTTTGATTTGGTGTATTATTATGTTTAGCAAGATACTTTTATAACTTCTCAAATTGTTCTTGAAAGTATTCTACGTGTTTATTAGGGTATGTTAGCTCTATACAATTCATTGGATGCAGAAGGCAAGAAGGTGTTTGCGACTGCATATAGTGCTTCATATTACCCTTGCATGGAGATCTTGTACGAGTGCTATGAGGATGTTGCAGCAGGTAGTGAGATCAGGAGTGTTGTATTGGCAGGTCGCCGCTTTTCTGTAAGTTGATTCTTTATTATTAAGTTTCCTAGCAATTGGTTTCTCTTTTCCTCTCTTTCTCTATCCACCCCCTTCATTGGAGGCACATTAATTTTTGACTTCCTTGATGGAAACTAGATTATACCACCTGTATTAATTTTGGCTTCTTCCCCAAAATGAAATCCTTAATTTCCTTTTGTGTTATTTCTTTTTTTTTTACTTTGATGTCATTTTCTGGACTGGTCACTTTTGAACCTGGCCCATCGCTTTTTGTATATGTGGATTTTTTACCATTTATAAAATGGGTCCTAAGCCAGTTTTTTTTTTTTTTTTTTTTTTTTTTTAAAAAAGATTATACCGCCTGTACTACCTAGCTTGTGGTGCTTTTCCCCTATATTTATTTTGATCACTTGAAGAAATTGTGTATCCTTCTCATGGAACCTAATATTACAAGGGCTTCTTCAGCATTATGGAAAAGTGAAATACTGATGATAAGATGAAGATATTAACCTTCTTTTTTTGTACATACAGGAGAAAGAGGGGTTACCAGCTTTCCCAATGGGTAAAATAGACCAGACAAGGATGTGGAAAGTTGGTGAGCGTGTTCGTGCAACACGACCATCTGGTGATCTGGGTCCTCTCTATCCTTTCACTGCTGGTGTCTATGTCGCATTGATGATGGCTCAGGTCTTCTTTTTATTCAATCCGTTTGGTTGGTTTTATTATAATGTTTGAATCGTAAAAGGAGGGCCTGGCACTGTGTATCTTGAGCTGCTGCCAACTTAAATCTCTTCAAAATCCTTCTCTTTCTCTTTCTAGCTGCAAACGCTTTTTACCTCTCCCCACTACTTGACAAGGTTTAGATCAACTTGATGAACAACCCCCCCCCCCCCCCCCCCCGCCCCCCCCCC